CGATTTCGATTCACTTTGATTATCGATTATCTCCCCATTAATTGACAAATAGCACTTTATACATGTTGATTTACATATCTGAATAAAAAAAAAAACATGAATTCCTTAACATTGCAATATATGTTTATTGCTCTTAAAATTCCAAAATAAAAGACTATATAAGTGCAAAGTAATGCATTCTTATTTTTGTAACATTCTCATTTTCCACTAGATATGTTCCTCTATATCTCATCAGCAATTTCGATTTCGGCACGCTCTGCGGCAGCTGAGCACTAAGGAGCGAATGTACAGTGAAGTGACATCACTGCCAGATTCAAACTGTGCTGAGCCAAAGACGGACGCGCTCAGCGCTTGTCATCATAGGCTGTATCACAACTGTTCAGTGTTTTTAACCACGTTTATTTTAGGTTTCAGACATTTAAATACATTTAATTTATAGTAAAACAATACATTTATAGTTTTTCCCAGTTCACCGGCCACTTACTTTCATGTATTTCGGGAGAAACTGATGAATTCACGTGCTGTAATAAATCCAACAGACAGGAATCTCGGAACTGCGGCCCAAACAAAAACATGACGGCGACATCTCTCGCATGCATTGTGCGTGCGTGCCGCCTTGCACTTCTGAAAGTCTGAGGAGCCACTCGTGTTGCTATACTACTCTCCGGCGCCGCCGTCTTTGTTTTGGGTCTGACGAATCGACGCGAATATTTTGCGTCGATGTATTTTTATTATATAATTTTATTTCAATCTACTTATTTGATATTTTGTATTATAATGTTTAGTGCAATGTAAAGACTACTGCAGATTTGTTTTCTCGTTTTTTTTTTTTTTGTCCTAGAATAAATTGTGAGAATATTTAATCAAAAACCCATTGACTTCAGGATAATGGAACCTGAAGTACTCAAATACTAACCTGGTTTTGGCCCATCATCCCTGCAGCATTGATTATTGATTTCTGAACACCTATTTCTCCTCAGGTACCAGGAGAGCAGCATAGTGGACAATATCAAGGTGTGCAGCAATGACACCGGCACTGGCCGTTTCAAGTACATTTGCATCACAAACCGCATTCCCAGGAACCCCACCATTGGTGATAAGTTCGCCAGCAGACACGGTCAGAAAGGAATCTTGAGCCGCCTGTGGCCCGCGGAGGACATGCCCTTCACCGAGAGCGGCATGAGCCCGGACATCCTGTTCAACCCTCATGGCTTCCCCTCCAGAATGACCATCGGGATGCTCATCGAGAGCATGGCTGGAAAATCTGCGTCTCTCCATGGCCTGTCTCACGACGCCACACCCTTCAAGTTCTCAGAGGAAAGCTCTGCGTTGGAGCACTTTGGCGAGATGCTGAAAGCCGCGGGATACAACTTCTACGGAACAGAGCGGCTCTACTCCGGCATCAGCGGCTTGGAGCTCGAGGCAGACATCTTCATCGGGGTGGTTTACTACCAGCGCTTGCGTCACATGGTCTCTGACAAGTTCCAGGTGAGAACTACGGGAGCGAGAGATAAAGTGACCAATCAGCCGCTGGGAGGGAGGAACGTGCAGGGAGGAATCCGGTTCGGAGAGATGGAACGGGATGCTTTGCTGGCTCACGGGACGTCGTTTCTGCTTCACGACCGGCTGTTTAACTGCTCAGATCGCTCCGTGGCGCAAGTTTGCATAGATTGCGGCAGCCTGCTGTCGCCGCTTCTGGAAAAACCCCCTCCTCATTGGTCAACTACACGGCATCGGGAAACATACTGCTTGTTGTGCAATAAGAGCGACTCTATTGAGACTGTGTCCGTTCCTTATGTGTTCAGATACTTCTTAGCAGAGCTTGCAGCAATGAACATTAAAGTCAAATTAGAAGTCAAGTAAAACTGTTGGACTGTATTCAGTTTCTCCGCATATGTGGAAAATAAAGTGCCTGACAGTATAATGTGAAGAAAAAGGGTAAAATGCTTTATTCGCTTGAGTGTTTGTCTCATTTGTATAATAAAATGCGTCTGTATGAGTGGCCATCAACAATATTTCCTTATCAATTGCAATTAGCACCAATGTGGACTGTTTTCATATCAATAGCAATAAGCACTTATGTGGACTATATTCATTTTTCAAGGTCATGCATATGTATTGGAGTTTATTTGGTTCTATTCACTTTTTTGTTTTTTTGAGGAAGCACAAACCCACCCCGATTAATTGTTCGTAATTACTAATATTACGATTTATTCGTTTTATTTAGTAACATTTTAATTATTTCATTAAAGTTTTCATGTCTGAATAATTACACTGATTTAAGTCTTGCATGCTTTAATTACCTTATGGGTTTGAAACTGATTCATTAAAAGAAAACACCAACAGAGTAATTTGTTAGTAAAGCAGACTACACTCCATTGTTGCTCTGTAGCAGTCGAGGTACACAGTTGTGATAGAATCTCTTGATCATGAAGTAAGGATGTGTTATATCTCCAATGTTTACGCCCAGAGGGAACAGAAAATGGGAGAAAAGGTAAAGTCACTGGGGAGTGGTCTGAAAGAAGAAGAGGTAATATATCAGCATTATCAATTAATGTGATACAAGGGATACGAGCAGATAATGAATGCATGAATAGGATTTGTGGCGAGCTGATCTCACTGTTCTCAATCGCCATATATCACACACGTTGACCTGTTTTATAAAATCATTTAACAACTTTGAAGAGGCTAAATCAGTGAGATATTTTAGACCTATCGACTATAATGCACAACATTGAAGTCAACGCCCATCACAAGCAGTGTTGGGGGTAACTCATTACAAGTAACTTGAGTTACGTAATCAGATTACTTTTTCAAGTAACTAGTAAAGTAACGCATTACTTTTAAAATGTACAACAAAATATCTGAGTTACTTTTTCTAATAAGTAACGCAAGTTACTTTGTTTTCCCCTTTATTGACTGACAGCTCTTCTGTCCTAATGTTGAGACAAATCGAAGTGCAGAGGCGTTGTGTGTAAACATGATGGTTATTATAGTTCTAGATTAAATGGATTTACTCATCTCACTTGCACAAAAAAGATTCAATATTCCTCAAAATGAATAAAATCAGTGAAATGCAGAATCAGAACACTATGCAAACCTCCAATACCTAAATATGTTAAATAAAACATAAATTTTTATAAATGTAATCTTTATTGACCAAAGTACTTGCTTCTGACTTCCGATTTTTCAGTTAAACCATAAGCAAAAATGACTATAGATTTTTTTATATGTTTTCATTGGTAAAGTAAGTGTTAAATTTGTTACTGAACACTACTGTACTCTACTGTACAGGAGTAAATCTGCATTTCCTTCAGTCTGAGGCTTATTATTTCACTTTTGGTGTGAAAGGGTCTTTACATTTGCCCAAAAATATATCTTTTTTGGTATAAAAAAACAAGCCCAGCCCAGGTGGAAAAAAAGTAACGCAAAAGTAACGTAACACATTACTTTTCTAAAAAAGTAACTAAGTAACGCAATAAGTTACTTTTTAAGGGAGTAACGCAATATTGTAACGCATTACTTTTCAAAGTAACTTTCCCCAACACTGATCACAAGATAGTCATTAAAACTTAGTATCATACGAACAAGCAGTTAATGGAACGCACTATCGTATTCATTAGGGGCATATACTCAGAAAAAAGCGCATTTAATATAGGACCATGTACAGAGGACACAAGTACTGTGACCATCTGCATCACTCTTAGAACAATGTATGGAAATGGGAAGGCGCCAATACCAATATCAGAACCCCCTTATTTTTCTGCCAGAAACTAGTTATTTTAGTTTATAAAGTTTTAAATAAGGATATTTTTTCTTACAAAAACCCATCGCTTTTATCAGAAGGTCTTTATTAACCCCCTGGTGTCGTATGGATTACTTTTATAATGGATGGATGCAATTTTTTGGACTTCAAAATCAGGACTGCCATTCACTACCACTATAAAGCTTGGAAGAACAATGATATTTCTTTTTTTATGTAACTCGGTGTTCATCTGAAAGAAGATAGACATATACACCTAAGATGTCTTGAGGGGATAATTTAAATTTTAGGGTGAACTATCCCTTTAAGTTCAGGAATCGGATACTTATAAAATTAAAATTCCTCTTATCGATTCCTTTGTGTGCATTTTAATATGATTTTAAACCATTCAAGTGCAAGAAGACCCGCACACTGTTTTCTGTGCTGCACATACAGCCAAAGCGTGTGCGCACAGAAAAAGTTATTTTAATGTGATTTTAAACCATTCAAGTGCAATAAGACTCGCGCTCTGTTTTCTGTGCTGTGCACACATCCAAAGCGCGCACACAGAAAGCCGCCTCTGAATAGTGCGCAATACTAGTTCTCTAGCACTTAAACGGACAAATACACAAAAATGTCAAAATATTCTCATAAACGCGTGCAGTTATGTCTTAAGATAACGTAAACGGTTCACAGAAAACGCATAACAGTATATTAATTGAATCCATCTTAAAGTGATAGCAGCCTAAAATTCTTGCTGCCATCTCTATAATAACGTTAATCAAACAACAAAAGATAAAGAGAAAACGTACATTTTATTTATTAAGTGCAGTGTTATTTTACATTTGATTACAGTGTCTGTACCTGAATAGCTGAAAATCTTAAAACACTTTATTTCAATCGTATCTCCATTCAGTTGTATTCATTTGTGCGCTTTTTTGAGTGTGTACTTGTATTTAAATAATGCTTGAAATTTATATTAGATAGTTGTTTTTTGCTACAATTAAATGTTTTTCAATAAGACAAAAAATAAATGTGAATGATTTTTTTTTACCTTATTGGAATTGAACTTAGAAATCGATAAGCAGAATCGGAAAGGGGAATCGCTAAAATACCCAACCCTAATTATAAATAGAGGCAGAACAACATTACTGTAAAAACAGCATGCTTCTTGTCATGTTAAATTTAAATTTGACTTCATTAAAAATATCTTCATTTGTGCTCCAAAGATGAATGAACGTCTTATGGGATTGGAATTAAATGAGAGTGAGTAATTGATGACAGGATTTTAATTTTGGAGTGAACTATCCTTTAAAAACTTTTTACCTCACATGAGTCATCACATTTTTCAAGTGCATCTTTAGGTCTACATTTGTAGACATCATTTCAACATCAGTTCAGCTAGAACATCATTCAGATTCAGTACACTAGGTATAGTGTAGTCTGGAGTCACAGAGCCCTGCGGGAGAGATTTACAGTCACTGTTTATCCATACGGTTGCTCGCACTCCTGCATTAACGCCTCCCTGGATGTCAGTACTGAGAGAATCTCCCACCATGATGCAGTCCTGTGGCAGAACTCCCACAGACTTGAAGCAGTGAGTGAAGATGGAGTGCGCCGGTTTCTGCTCAGGATGATCTCCTCCGACAACCACCACATTAAAGAGACCCTCGCATCTCACAGCTTCGATCTTCTCCCACTGCGTCTGACTATCGCCGTTGGTGAGCAGAAGCAGTTTGTAATTTTTCCGCAGTTCTTCCAGGAGAGATCGAATCTCAGGAGACAGAGTCAGCGCCTGTAAACGTGTGTTCTTCCATGTGTAGTAGCAACTGTTGGCCAGATCCGGATCAGGATCTGTGCCCTGCGTCTCCTGTAGGGCTTCATACCAGTGATGGATCCTCACACTATCTATTGTTTTTCCGTCTGATGGGTCGAACGATTCGTGATGAAGCTTTCGTGAATAGCATTCACAGATGTCTCTGATGTGGATTTCCTGCACAGGTGTCGACTTTAGCAGCTCATACACCTGAATAAAGAGCACAGCGTAAATCATAAAATCTACATCTTTTTTAAACAAAATAAGTACAATTTGAATATTATTTAGTTTCTTTTTTAATTAAAAGACATTACAGTCTTAAGTGTTGAGTAAGTGTCCAAATAATTTTTTAAAACAACATCATTAAAAAAAAAGTCCATATTTAGGTCCACATATGTAGACATAATTTCAACATCAGTCAGATTCAGTACACAAAAGGCCAAAAGAGCCTTTTAGAAACAGCTCTACTCAGCAAAGGTCTCACACTACTAGACCAGGGGCCTCATGTACAAAGACTTGCGTTGAATTCATACTAAAACATTGCGTACGGACAAAGCTGTAAATGTGCGTACGCACAAAAAAAAGCAGATGTAGGCTATGAATCTCTGCGTACGAAGGATCCCACGTATATTCTCTTTGTACATCCCAATTAACGTAAAATTAGCGCACATGCACGAGCACAACGCCCCACCCAGTCTCCTCCCCCAATTAAATTAATTTAAATATGGTAATTAGTCCAATTTGGTAAAAGAAACCTGCAAGAACATGGCTAAAGCAAGCAAGAAACGAAATTTCACTGAAAATGTCTTCTATGTGAATATATAGTAAAGTGTAATTTATTCCTGTGATCAAAGCTGAATTTTCAGCATCATTTCTCCAGTCTTCAGTGTCACATGATCCTTCAGAAATCACTCTAATATGATGATTTGATGATCAAGAAACATTTTTGAGTATTATCAGTGTTGAAAACAGGTGTGCTTCTGCTTCATATTTTCGTGGAAACCGTGATATAGTATTTTCAGGATTCTTTAATGAATAAAAACTTAAATCAAACAGATATAGAAATCTTATAATCTTTTGTAACATTATAAATGCATTTACTCTCACTTTTAAACTAATTCAATGTGTCCTTGCTGAATAAAAATATTACTTTCTTTTTTTATCTTTACTGACCGAATTAATGAAGTTTATTTTTTATTCCTTAAGCCAACGCTGCCATTGCTAGACGGGTTGTATCAATTTGGACATGCTTTATATATGTTCTTACTTAATTGCATAATAGAATATTTTAATAAAACTCGTGTGACAATAATATGTCAAATAATTTATCAATTACAAATTATAAGCAATATCTGACAGCTGGTGGTGCGATAGAACAATTCGTAGTGTAATGTTTGCCACTTCACTTTATTGCCTCTATGAGTCGCCAACGGACAAAAATCACGACAAATATGCGTACGCCAGACATGAAGTTTACTTGGAGGAACGCACATTCTTACGTTAATTTCACTGTTAGTACATCTGGCCGTGAACGTGAAAGCTGACGTACGCCATGTTTTTGTGCATACGCAGTGTTGATACATGAGGCCCCATGTGATTGAGTTTGTGTCCCAGCCTTCTTGATATTGGTCTTTCTGACCATTTTGCTGTATTTTTCAAACTGGGTTTATTATTTTTTAATCAATTGATTAGACCGTATATGCAACTGCAGTTGCTTCATCTTTCACTAAATTGGGCTAAAAATGTTTGGATGATGAAATTTCACAGCTTAATAAATTGGATTTATTTGCTCCTCTTACGTTTTAGTAAATTTATTCCCTCTTGGCCAACTTTTACAAGCTCTAGGTATTAAGTATCATTCTTATGCCGATGACACACTGATCTATTATTCATTGTAAACAAGGTCAAAGTGAGGCTGTCTTGGAGGGCTAATCATTTTCTTTGTCTAAACACAGTATAAAGAGTGATAAAACTGAGGTCCATAAGGCTGGCCAAACACCTCTTACCATTGAGCATTCTGGCATTGAGTAAAAATTGAGGTAATCTTTGATTCTTCATTGACATTTGACATCATGTACTGAATGTTGAAAAGACACTTTTTTTTCCTTAGACTATTGCAAAATTGCGTCCCATGCTATCCCTGTCAGTTGCAGTAAAGCTAATCAATATATTTGTTTTTTCCCCCGTATTGATTACTGTAATGTGCTTCGTACTGGAGTTTCTAGCATACTCTAAATAAGCTACAGTATGGTAGAAATTCTGCAGAGAGAATTTTAACTAGGACCAAAGTTAATCATATTATATGGAGACTAGAGATCATATTACTCCCATTTTGAAATCATTGCACTTGCTACCGGGTAAATTTAGAGTTGATTTTAAAGTTCTTATGCTCACAAATAAAGCACTTCACGGTCTGGCTCCGGTGTATTTATCTCAGCTTTTTACACCATATATCTCAAACCGAAATCTTCGCTCTTCTCAGCATTGTCTTTTGGTTGTCCATCAAACCATCAGAGACAAACCAGTTGTCCATCAGAGCTTTTTCTATATTTGCTCCCAGGTTTTGATTTTGCTTCCAGTTGAAATTCAGGAAGCACAGTCTCTTTGAATTTTTAAAACATATTTGGAAACATATTAAGTTGGCTTATTGTTGTTTGTGGTAAACATTGTTGATTTCTTGTTGTTTTAATACACCTATGAAGTATTGTTGATTTAGTATTGTTCCTTGTATTTCTACCTTGTAAAGCGCTTTGAGAAGCTCCTTTGTTTGGAGGCACTATAGAAAATAAAGTTATTATTATTATCATCACCCTCATAGTATTACCATGGTACGTGTCCAAAAAACATGGTAATGGTACTACTTTGATTGATATACTGTATACCAGAGCTCGAAAGTGAGGGGGGCTGGGGGGATCTCTCTTATAACATTGGACTGAATTTCCTGGACTGAAAATATATCCTATATATTTTTTTTTTTTATCAATAAAAACAGCTGTTCTTTTGAAGGCTGTGCTACGGGGAAAGCTAATAGCTATAACTGCACAACTTAACAGAGTTAGAAAAGAGAAGTATGAAAAATTTATGAATACTTTGAAAGAGTTAGAAAATAAATTTAAGAGTAAAAGAGAATTAAATACACAAAAACAGATAACTGAAGTAAAAACACAAATAGAAGATTTACTTAATCAAGAAGTAGAGAAAAAGGCAAGATACGTCAAGCAAAGTTATTATGAACTTGGTCCCAAGTCAGCAAAGTTACTTTGCTGGATACGGATACTGCAATTCACAAAATTAAAAACCCAATATCACAGAAAATTGAAACTAAGCCTGAGGAGATTGAAAAGATTTTTAGAGAATACTATCAAAAACTCTATTCACAAGAAGAGACCGTGAATAAGCCGTACATAAGGGATTTCCTGTATTAGATTTACCTAGCATTGGGGAGATAGATTTCACTAGAAGAATTAAATAAGACGCTGGGAAAAATGAAGACTAATAAAACTCCGGGTGGTGATGGGTTTCCTGCGGAGTGGTACAGAAAATTTCTTGACAAACTGAACCCAATTATATTAAGATCTTTCAACTGGACGATAAAGGAGGGTCGCATACCACCATCTTGAAAAGAGGCCATTGTGTCTTTGATTCCCAAGGAGGGGAAAGATCAGGGGCGTAATTTGTGGGGGGGATGGGGGGGATATAACCCCCCCAATATTTAAATCTATGCATTACAACCCCCCCATTATTTATACCATGATCACAATATCAGGAGGCATACCCAAACTTCAACCCCCCCAATGTTCAAACCAAATCTACGCCCTTGGGAAAGATAGAGACGATTGTGTGAATTACAGACCCATATCCATTTTGCACGTGGACTATAAATTGTATACTTAAATTATTGCTAAAAGACTGGAATCATTTGTTACACAATTGATTGATGAGGACCAAAGTGGGTTCATTCCAGGTAGACAGGATAATATTAGAAGAACTTTACACATACTCGGAAAAATGAATAGAGAAAAATCGAGTGCAGCTCTAATAAGCCTGGATGCTGAAAAGGCATTCGATAGGGTGGGGTGGGAATTCCTATACCAGACGCTGGAAAGATTTGGATTTAATCAAGATTCAATAAATTTTATTAGGGCAATTTACCAACAGCCTACCGCCAGAATCAAAGTGAATGGGTCTCTAATAGAGCGTTTCTATTTGAGCAGAGGAACGAGGCAAGGTTGTTGTTTAAGCCCCATCCTCTTTGCTCTGTATATTGAACCACTGGCACAGGCCATTAGACAAGAGGAGGGATTAAAGGGTATCACTATGGGACAAATGGAGCACAAAATTGGACTATTTGCTGACGATGTTATGCTATACTTGCATGATTTGGATTCCTCTCTCCCTAAACTTTTGGAGGTAATTGAACAGTTTCATGTTTGCTGCTCTGGTTATAAACTAAATATCACAAAAACTCAAATTATTCACTTTAATTACTCTCCAGGAGAAATAAATTACAAATAAATTAAATGTAAATTGGAAAACAAAAACACTGAAATATTTAGGTATAATCACAACAAAAAAAACCTGAGCTGCTATATAAAGCAAACTATAACCCAATAAATGATAACATAAAAAAAGATTTGGAGAGGTGGTCGACCTACCCGCTAGATTTTAGTAGCAGAATAAATGTAATAAAAATGAATATTCTGCCAAGGCTCCTGTATCTGTTCCAGTCGCTACCAGTGGAAATACCACTTCAACAATTTGCACAATGGGACAAAATGGTGTCAAGGTTCATATGGGGAGGAAAACGCCCCAGAATACGTTTCTCTACTTTGCATCTGCCAAAAGAGAAAGGAGGAATGGCTCTGCCAAACTTAAAACTGTACTTTCAAGCTGCACAACTACGACCTTTGTGCCTTTGGTGTGATAACTCTTATATTGCACGATGGAAAGATATTGAGACTTATGTACCAGATTATAATGTTCAAACCCTGATGGGAGAGGAAGGCCTAGATGACACTCTAAAGAAGGGTCTGAATCCTATAGTTATATTTTCCCTTGGGATCTGATTAAGCAATTGAAACTTAAAAATGATCAAAAAATACTGAGATGGATTGCACTGGATAACAGATTTAAGCTGGTTATTTATGACAGTACGTTTAAAGATTGGATGAATAAGGGCCTGACAGCTCTCTGCATAGCTATCGAAAACAACAAGATGAAGAGTTTTCAGAAGCTAAAGGATAGTTTTGATCTAAATAACCAGGATCTATTCAGATACTTACAGCTGAGAGATTACTACTGCAAAGAAATTAAGGGGTTTTCTTCTGACATGGTAAACCCTCTTATTGAAATAATGTGTGGGGCTTATCAACAAAAGACCAATAAGATTGTGTCTAAACTCTATCAGAGTCTGATGGAGAACTTGAAAAACACTACTATGTAAAAGCAAAATGGGAATGTGAATTAAAGGTCGTCCTCACGGTGGAGGAATGGTATCAAGCATGTTGCCTACTCCAGACCTCCACCAACTCCCAACAGTGGAGAGAATTTAATTGGAAGTGTTTTATGAGGTTTTTCATCACTCCTTATTTGAAGAGTAAACAACTTGGGATACCTCAAGACTGTTGGAGGGACTGTGGTAGTAGGGACGCAAACCACGCCCACATCTTCTGGACATGTCCTAAAATTCAACCATTTTGGTCTATCGTTAATAATCCTTTACAGAACGTGTTGGGGTACAATATCCCAAAGGAATGTAAAGTTATGTTTCTCGGAAACATCACAGAAAGTGTGCGGAAGGAGGACATTTATTTATCCAAGATTTTATTATCTGCGGCCCGAAAGGCTATTACTAAATTTTGGCTCAAATCGAACATCCCAGATCTACAGCAATGGATAAGTTTAATTCAAAGTATTTTTATAATGGAAAAATTACTATAAGGTTAAGAGAGTCAGCATTTAAAGAAAAATGGAGAAAATGGACCCATTTTCTGGCCCTAGAATCTGCATAACTGTTCTTCCCAATACAACTATATACTGTATGTTAAGTTTATGTGATTCTACTGATTGGGTTTCTGGTAAATGTATGCAAAAGATGGTAGACGTATTGTAAATGTAAGGTTTATTGAACAGTGATTCCGATGAGTAACTAGACTTATTTTTGTTTCAATTGTACAAGGTACCTCCTCCTTGGCCTCCTCTGATTTTGTTCAATGTATGTTATTTATTTTATTTTACTTTTTCCCTTTTTGTTTTAATGTTGTTGACATAAAACTCTAATAAAAATTGAAAGTATAAAAAAAAAGGCTGTTCTTTAAAGTCTCCCTGTGGTGAAAATCAAGATTTTAATATTGTTTATAATATGTCTAGTATTTAATGTAATTTAAGATAAACCATGTGTAAATTTACAAAGTCAATATCATTGCTGAGTATTTTCTCCTTAAAACTCCAGTGAATCAAAGACAGTTGAAATCGCAGGTGTTTCTGACGTCGCAAACTACTTTGTAACCAATCACGACCACCTGTGATCATCAACGAGTGGATCTCTGAGCTGGTGTGAGTGAGTGGAGGCGGGGCTAATTAGCATATTCATAGAAATGCGTATACTAAATGAGGCAAGGGTGTAGAGTTACATTTAAGGCATGAAGAATTTTTTTCCAAGGAAAACATAATTTTGATGATCAAAGATGAGTTTTAAGGGAGACAATAATTGACTACAAGAGGGACGTTAAGCCTTTTAAATAAATAGTTTGTTATACATGCATTCAAATAAATATGTATATTTTGTAAGCCTATAGATTTGCACCAAAACAAAAATCTTATGGTGGGGACTTGATCCAATTCAACCACTGCATACTTCGGAGTACATCAATGAATTACCTATGTCAAAAACATAGAAACAGTACCAGAAATATTGTCAGCTGTTCCTTAAAGGTGTCAGTTTGAGCATTATTCATATTCATGCATTTACCTTCTGAATGGCAATTCGTCCTGCGCCAGCTGTGTCGACCAGCGTATTATCCAAGTCGAATATAATCGATAAAACTCCTCGACTTTCCATCATATTAGACATAAACCTCCGATATTGACTACAGTCAGTTCCGAACACGCGGAACTCCGGCTACTGACGTCAGACATGTATTGTGACGCAGCACTCAATTTGCATCATGGGAGATGCAGTTCCCAAGGGGAAAAAATGTCGGTTGCATTTAAACCTCTATGATTTAAACTGGTAAGAATGTTAGTCATATTTTTTAAAGACTGTTTATAACTTATGCAAGTCAGTTACATAAAAACATTTAACTGGAAAAGGCATACAATCAGTATGTAGGCTATCTAGTATTGGTGGTGGTTTGTTTGTTTTTTCTTCATTTATTTATTTATTTATTTTTTACTAAATTGATCATTCAAATCATAGGCGGAGTTTGGGGGGGGCTAGGGGGGGCACTGCCCCCCCAGACCAGAGCCAATTAATGCCTGCCTTGTGCTTTGAAAAAAAAAAAAAATACTGTATTCATATTTTCTCATTTTATTTGTCTTATCTTATCATTTTTGCGGGTATAATGAGTAAGTTAAGGCTAAATTATTTTTAATTACTGTATTGAAAAAGAAGCTAATTTTCTCACGACTGGCGGATCTCAAAGTATCGCGGTAAGTGAGGAATTTCCTGTGTGTTTTTCGCGTACAGACACGTCCGTTCACATGGATCCCCAAAAAGGACTAAACCGCTGTATTATTCATGCCAGGCCGACTCTCCATGAGAGGATAAAGAACAGGCTGCGGTTGACGATGGGAGCAGCCAGGTTTTCTTCTCTTGCGATCCTTCACATCGAAAGCGACATTACGGCCAAGCTCTCACCTGAGACCATTATCGACGCAGGACGCAAAAAAACGAAAATTACTGTTGCACTAGTCTGAGCAATATCTAGGTCTGTAAGTTTTATTTCTCTGCCAAATAACTGCTTAAGATGGAGAAAAACTCAACACACTGCTTTCAATATGCTGTTCAATATGTTTCAAAAGTGGAGAGTAGGCTATGTGACCGTTAATTTTTCCCGTGTCTCAATGTTTTAAATGTTTCATGAAATGGCTACAACAAAATGCGAAATAACTTTTTTTTTTTTAATCGCTCTCATTGCCACAATTGTGTTTCAAACGTGGAGAGTAGGCTATTGTGTGACTGTTCATTTTTCCCGTGTCTCAAAATGTTTTAAATGTTTCATGAAGTACAATAAAATGCGAAATATAACTTTAATCACTCTCATTGCCACAATGTGTTTTGAAAAAAGGAAAGAAAAGAAAAACTAAAAATCTTTTTGTTTTGGTTGAAGATAATATTTTAACAGTGCAAAAGTGGTCCACATTTCATTTATCCTAATTGTGTCCGAACGACAATGATTGCTACATGAATGAATGAATGAATGCTACAATGATTTTTTTTTTTTTGCCCCCCCTGGCTCGAATGTCAAACTCCGCCTATGATTCAAATTACGGTATTTCGTGTGATTGAGATTTATTCGCCCGTTTTATAAAAATCATTGATGTTAAAATGACAAATGTAGGCTATAAGCTAGTAAAATTTAATTGCAAAAGCTGCATTCTGCAATATAAGTTAATATTTATATTTATCCTTGAGAAAAAAGACACATGGCAGTATGCTAATATAGCACAGGACAGTAATCAGGTGGAAAATCTGAGCGGCAGCTGAATCTCGCAAGACGTGCGAGTTGGCAACTATGAATGAGGTTACGTGAAAACTTTGGTTTGTTCTCAATAAACATGCTCTTTTTCAGGTTCTTATCAGATTACACGTGCTGGCATTTGAAGAAGAAAAAAGAACACACCTGTGTGTCTGAACGTAACCTAGCCTATGTAGCCTATCTGTCTAATGTAGTGTAGGCTACGTGTGAGTGAGCTATAGGCTTCAGTTGCCTTTCATCTTAACCATGTGACAAGTTACTGTTTTTTACGATGTAGCCTACTCTTAGCCAGGGCAGATATATAGGCCTACTAATTATAAAAGTCTAAAACCGTCGCACAAATGCAAATTGTCTACTAAAATCTTTTTTTTTTTTTTTTTTTTTTTTTTTTTTTTTAAAGAAAAAGAAACACTAAATATAATACAAATGTTTAAATATACATATTTTACTTCTCACAGTTGAAGACTTTTTGCCAATGTGTAGCCTATGTTTACTAATAACAAATATATTTTTCACTATAACACTTCTTTTCAACCCAAAATACAAAAAAAGGAAATAATTAAACATAATTTTGGAGCAATTGAGATGCAATCACAACCATGGCCACATGAGGGCATCATTATAGCGGAGTGAACACTTAAATTCAACCACATCACTACAACTCTGTCCAGGCTAGACTGAAACTTGTGGCTCTGTTAGTTATTGGATTGAAGGCTGTTCTCTACTGTAAAACAAAACTGAATGCCTTCCTATCACAACATCTGTATGTAGCAACCGTAGCGACCGTATCGTTGAGAATGAAAGCAGAAACTTTGGGAAATCATTCAGAAACTCTGAAATAGCACCTAAAGATGCATGAGAATCGTTTCATTATTTACTCGTCCTCAAGTTGTTCCAAAGTCATATATGCTGATATTGTTTTTGTGAAACACAAAATGGGAACATGAGGAATCATGAATATATATATATATATATATATATTTATTTACAAATTTATATAGGCTATTATTAATTTTGAGGACATTGAGGACAGCATGACACATTATATAATTTGCAATCATCTTGCAATATCTACATTGGTAAGAAATTAGGTATGTTTATCTATCACATTAGCTGCGTTAATTATACATTGTCGCATAATTATACGTTCAAAGCCACGTAATGTTCACAGAGAGAAGCAAGTTGCAGCCAGCAGTGCAGAATACCCATCATTCTATTTATCAGCATTTTCTCAGTGCAAACTCATCTCACCTCATATGGCCTCGCTACAATTTGACTTTCCCCCCTCTAGGCTCAGCATGCACACACCTTCAGGGCTCTTCACTCACCACGAGGAACGTTTACTGTTCTCACATTGAGTATTTGTGGTTTGTTCTTTATTTTACAAGGCTGAATTGCATGATCAGCCTTACATCATAAGCCGTGGCCCATGAAGTATTTAGAAACTTAAACCACAATTTAAAATAAATGCATTTCATTGCAGTAGAATATCAAACCACAATGGAATTCATTTTAAATGGTAAGTTCACCCAGAAATCTAAATTATGTCATTACTCACCCTCATGTCGTTCCAAACCCTTAAGCCCTTCGTTCATCTTCGGAACACGAATTAAGATTTCTGATGAAATCCGAGATGTTTCTGAACTATTTAAAGACAGCAATGTCATTGCAACTTTCAATGCCCAGAAAGGTTAGTAAAGACATCATTAAAATTGTCCATGTGACCACAGTGGACTAAAATTGTCCATGTAACCTTAAGCAACAATAATTATTTTTGGTTATATTTCTTTAACCCATTCAGACCCTGCGTTGTCAGCCCTTTTTTTTTTTTTTTTTTTTTTTTACTTCTGGAGCATTTCATCTAGTTTAAAGCCTGCAGTCCATTATATTGGACGTTTTTCATCCAATCAAATGGCAGTAAAGCTCTGTATGTAGTAACTATTACTACATTGAAGAGAAGCATGGCAGCACTTCACTCCAAACACAGAAGCAAGCTATTGGTTCTTGCATTTTCTATGGTTTTATTTACATTTTTTTAAAATTTTGTATTTCATAGTTTCTGTGTAAAATAGAAAGATTGAACTTATTAATTAAAGTTAAAAATCGATTGTAGAATTGCAAGTTTTAAATCAGGATTTTTTCAAATGTGTCTGTCCATTAGAATGGACAGTGGGTTCGAAAGCCTGTTACTGAAATCACATTTTCAGTAATGCTGATTGAAATTTCTTATATAAAAAAAAATCTATATCAAAGTACCGATACATTTTTAAAACTTTTTCATATGCAGAATATACAGTTCTTGAAATGCTTGAACACACTGTAAAAAAATTGCTGTAGTTATGCAGCTGTTTGCCAGTAACTTACTGTAGATTTAAATTGATGTATATTTACTGGCAACAGTTTGTTCAAAGTTAAATGAACATTAACAAGTCTTTGTCTTTACAGAATAAAATTATAAAATAACAATCTAATGCAAAGCATTCTGGGAACCAGAAATCTTCTTCAACCTTTTTCTGTTTTTTTTTTTCCTTCAGATTTTGGTTCCCAGAATGCTTTGCATGAGGCTGTTATTTTAGTTTTATTCTGTAAAGATAAAGACTCGTTAATGTTTAATGTTCATTTAACTTTGAACAAACTGTTACCAGTAAATAACATCAATTTAAAACTACAGTAAGTTACTGGCAAGCAGCTGCCAGTAATACTGTAATTTCTACAGATTTTTTTTACAGTGTATAGCTGATGGAAATATCTCAGATGTTGACTTTATGTGGAGTGATGAGAAAGATGGAGATGTAAGAAAAATATCTGTATTTAAAACTTTATAAAGTAAAGGCTTGAGGGTGAGTAAATCATGGGCTAATTTAAATTTTTGGGTGAACTATCCCTTTAAAGGTATAGTTCACCCAAAAATTATATTTGTCATCACTTACTCACCCTCATGTTGTTCCAAACCTGTATGAGTTTCTTTATTCTGCTGAACACAAAATAAGATATAAAGAACATTTGACAGTATCAGTGACTTCCATAGTATTTTTTTCCTATTATATATTTTCCTAATAACTACATATTATATTATTATTATATAATATTATCATTATTATTAATTATTTTGAAAATTACAATAATATTTAGCAGTAATGTAGCAATACAGATATTACAGTACAATACTGTATAATTAATTACAGCAGAACCGGACCAAATTACGAAATACAGTAAAAATACAGTAAAGTACTATTTTGTAGTTTACAGTACTGATCTTGTGCACTGTAAAGTGAATTACACTACAGTTACTTACTGGAAATCGAAATACAGTAACTTGCTGGCAACCGTGCTGCCAGTAATGTACTGTAAAAATACAAGAACACCGTTAACAGAGAAATTGTTTCAAAGATGCACACAGGAAATGACTCTAACGTGAATGCATTGAT